CAGGAGCATACAATGGAGTCAAGACAATCTCTTCAATAAATGGTGTTGGGAAAATTGGACAGGTACAAGCAAAAAATGAAACTGGACTACCAATTTACACCACACACAAGAATAAAATAAAAATGGATAAAAGACTTAAATGTAAGTCCTGTAACCGTACAAATCTTAGAAGAAACCATAGGCAACAAAATCTCAAACATGTCCCTTGGCAATATGTTTACTGATACATCTCCTAGGGCAAAAGAAACTAAGAAGAAAATGAACACATGGGACTACAACAAAATAAAAAGTTTCTGCACAGCAATAGAAACAATCAACAAACTGAAACGAGGGCCCACTGCTTGGGAGCACATATTTGCCAATGAAACATCCGATAAGGGATTAATTTCCAAATATATAAGGAACTCATACAACTTAACAAAAGGACAAACAATCCAATTAAAAAATAGGCAAAAGGACCTAAATAGACACTTTTCCAAAGTGGACATACTAAAGGCCAAGAGACATAAAAAAATGCTCAAAGTCACTAATCATTAGAGTGATGTAAGTTAAAATGACAATGAGGTACCACCTCACACTCACCAGAATGGCTATCATCAACAAGTCAACAAAAGACAAATGTTGGCTAGGATGTTGAGAAAAGAAACCCTAGTACACTGCTGGTGAGAATGCAGACTGGTGCAGCCACTGTGGAAAACAGTATGGCATTTCCTCAAATAATTAAAAATGGAACTCCCATTTGATCCAGTGACCCCACTTCTAAGAATATATCCTAAGAAACCCAAAACACCAATCAGAAAGGACATATGCATCCCTATATGCATAGCAGCGCAATTTACAATAGCTAAGATTTGGAAAGAGTCCAAGTGCCCATCAGTAGATGAGTAGATAAAAAAGCTGTGGTACATTTACACAATGGAATACTATGTAACAGTAAAAAAGAAAGAACTCTTACCATTTGCATTAATATGTGTGGACCTGGAGAGTATTATGCTAAGCAAACTAAGCCAGTCAAAGAAAGATAATTACCACATAATCTCACTCATGTTTGGATTCTAATGAACAAAATACACTGATGAACAAAGTAGATCTAGAGACAAAGAACTTTAGAACGTTAAAAAGTTTCAGACAGAAGGCAGGTGTGTGTGTGTGTGTGTGTGTGTGTGTAGATATTAATTGGAGAACTTAATATGCGTATATCCATAGTCCATGGACACAGACAATATTATCACGTAATCTCACTCATGTTTGGATTCTAATGAACAAAATACACTGATGAACAAAGTAGATCTAGAGACAAAGAACTTTAGAACGTTAAAAAGTTTCAGACAGAAGGCAGGTGTGTGTGTGTGTGTGTGTGTGTGTGTAGATATTAATTGGAGAACTTAATATGCGTATATCCATAGTCCATGGACACAGACAATAGTTTGGTGAAGACTTGGGAGTAGTGGGTGAGGTGGAGACAGAGTCAATGGAGGGGAAAACAATGGACATCTGTAATATTTTCAACAATAAAGATAAATTTTAAAAATGAATAAATAAATGACAGCCAAAACTGTAAACTACTTAGAAAAATATAAGGAAATATGTTTGTAATCCTGGGTTTTAAAAAGTGTTTTTAGCCGAAACCGGTTTGGCTCAGTGGATAGAGCATCGGCTTGCGGACTGAAGGGTCCCAGGTTCAATTCCGGTCAAGGGCATGTACCTGGGTTGCGGGCACATCCCCAGTAGGGGTTGTGCAGGAGGCAGCTGATCGATGTTTCTCTCTCATGGATGTTTCTAACTCTCTATCTCTCTCCCTTCCTCTCTGTAAAAAATCAAGAAAATATATTTTTAAAAAAGTGTTTTTAAAACAAAATATTTAAAAATCCAGAAAACACTAAGGAAAAACTGATGAATTTTACCCCTATAATTATAACTTATGTCGTAGTGATGGATGAATAGACAGAATGGTGACATAAGCTACCAACTGGGAATATATTTGTAATGAATATACCAAGAAATAGTGAGAATTAATAAACATATAAAGAACATCTATAAGTCAATGAGAAAAAGAAAATAAAACAATAGAAAAATGAGCAAAGATATTCAGGGGAGGACACATGAATGGCCAATAAACATATACAATAATGCACCAAGACCATTACTCAGTATCTGTTATTAATGTTGATAGACAATATTTTCTAGAATATTCTCACCAGGACATTGCTTGGTTAAAATATATGGGCCATTGATCACAAAATGAATAAAAATATGATGGCTTTTACCTAGGAAAGTAATATTAAAGTTTTTCAAATGTTAATGTATTATTTCATTTTCCTATTTATGCCTCATTTCATATATTGCAAACATTTCTAAGTCGAAGAAATGTTAGGTACCCCCAACACTATGTATGTTTATTATTCTAGTTTTGGTAGAGTTTTAAAAGCATATTTCTTGCTTGCAAAAATTATTATAAAATTTTCTAAAACATTTGATGCTTATCAAGTTAGTATAACCTGACACATTTTAAAACCAAAAATTTAATAGGCATTTTATTAAAAATGGTTTGAATTTCATCATCATATTTGATAATGCACAAGATGACATTTATCAATAGACTCAAACCAGCAGGCAAAATTCAAATCGAGATATGGAAAATAAACAATATTAGATGCACAGTGCAATATGAACTACAAACATACATTTGGTATAGGCCAGTGGTCGGCAAACTGTGGCTCGCAAGCCAGATGCGGATCTTTGGCCCCTTGAGTGTGGCCACGAAGTTTCAATCGCACTGTACTTGCGCGGCCGCACGTGGAGCCACACTCAAGGGGCCGCAGTTTGCCGACCACTGGTAGGCGGTCAAGCATTAACTAAGGTCACTGCATCAGGCACACAAATTCTATATTTATCTGAAATCCAACAACCTGTCTTTTTCTACTGTAATAATCCTCATCAAAAAATTATTAAATGTCAGCTTTCTTCAAATATTCCCAAACTCTTTAACTCACAGTAAAGTGTTTCTTCACCAGCACTTAGCAATCTCATTCCTGTAGATTTTTTGCGTTTAATACACATTTTCCGAATGCATGACTGAAATGGTTACAACTTAGTACGCGGAGCCTTACTTCTTTGATGCATATACCAATGTGCTGAAGCCCATGGTATACACGCAGACCAAGCAGTGAAGTAAGATCTCTGGTGTAATATGGCAAATTCCAGTCACCAGCCAACCTCTGCCTCAGGCAGACCTCACCAAGCAGTGAAGTAAAATCTCTGGTGTAATATGGCAAATTCCAGTCACCATCCATCTGATTGGATGTTCCTTGTGTCATAACATTGTTAAATATTTGGAATATCACCTCCTTATCATACAATGTCATTTAATTATTTCAAGCTTCACATCACGCAGTTTATACAGATTTATAATGCAAAGTTGGCTTGTCAAGATGGAAGTTTGGGGACTTTTCCCATCTAAAGAAAGCAACCATTCTATTCCCTAGAAGTGGTGAGGTCCAGGACTAGGACTTCCTGAGGCATTGCCTTTACCCAGGAGGAGTAGGGGAAATAACACAGCCTTTGAAGCTAGAGGAGAATCGTCCTTCAGACACACAATCCTGTGCTGTTTTCCCTCCAGGTAATTCTTTCCCTCAGTGGAGAACTTGAGAATCACCATTATTTAACTTCTGATGACAGCTGTTAGCCTGGAAATGATCATAAAACCCAGAGCATTATTTCTTAGGGAAACTGCTTTCAACATACATTAATTTAGGTTGGCTGTGTTTTTCAAGAACAATATAGAGTATGTCAGAGTGCCACTAAGTTCATAACCAATGGGATACTAATGTCTCATTATGTTAAAGAACAACAATGCTCAGTCCTATGGTATGCAGCTTTCTGGAAATTAGGGAACAAATCAAATAATCTAGAGTGTCACTAACCTGTTCTTAAAGGCATTCATGGAAGAAAAAGGGCTCTGTGATCAAAACAGTGTGGCAAATGTGACTTTAAATATAATTAACCACATTGATCACCGGAATAGTATTTTTATTACACTGCTTTTTATGAAAAATGGAAGTAATAAATTAAGATATGTAGTTGCTTGTGATTTCAAAAAGCATGAAAATATAACCCAAAAAAGTAAGAAAATAAGTGATTATGTATATGGAGAAAAAGAACACAGATAATAGCTCTCTAGGATTGGACTTTGTTATATTTGACCATAGAACCAGGTAAACAATTCACAAAATTAAAAAAAAAATGTAATAAGCCAAAAAGGGGGTGGGGGGAGATAAGGAGAAAAAACAATCCCTCAAAATAAAAACAAACTTAAATAAATGAACCTATGTGGTGGTGTTTGGAGGCAGGGATTTGGGGGGAAGGAGGGGATAATAGGGTCATGAGAATAGAGCCCTGATGAATGGGACTAGTGCCCTGATAAAAGAGACCCCAAAAAAATTTCTGCTCCCTTCCACTATGTGAGGACACAGAGAAAAGAATACCATCTGGGAACCAGGAAGAGAGTCCTCATCTGACACCGAATCTGCTGACACCTTAATCTTAGACTTCCCAGCCTCCAGAACTATGAGAAATATACTGTATTTCTGTTGTTTATAAGCTACCCAGTCTATAAATCTGTTATAACCCCCGAAACAGACAAAAACTAAGCTTATCTCTATTGGTCCATATACTAAGAAATGTCCACAATAAAAATTTTAAAACTGTTATGAAGTCTTTGTGCACACTTTCCTAAATCTCTGTTCTTATTATCAATTTTTTAAAAGTGATTTTATCAGATAAAGGGTATAAGATTTTAATTTAATCATGGTTCTATAGAAAGGTTAACGAACTAATTTCAGGTTGGGCAGTTCAAGTTCATACCTCCACCAGCAGCATCTGAGAATGCTCAATGACCCATATCCTCATCAGCACTGGGGATTATCATAGTAATTACAAGGCATGCTGGCCTTGCTCAACCAGGGTCCACTAAGAGAACTGAGGCCTCATAACTTAAGGATCCACAAATTAACTTCTGTTCAATGCATCCAGCATAGCATTCCTATGTACCATACTTGGGAGAATTAAAAAACAGGCATTCAAATCACTTTCTGTGTTCTGAAGATCAGATGCAGAAGAAGCCTGAGGAAAGTTGCCTGTCATTATTGTCCTGGCTGTAACAGATAGCTTTTGATACACAGTGTGTTCATTTCTTTTCAAAACAAGTTATAACTATAGCTCTTCTTTACTCTCTTTAATCCATTGTTATTTGGGAGAAATCTGATAGTAGGTATTACATTTGCTTTAAAGTTTTTCATTTATTTCTAGTTTTATTGAATGCA